TGAGCCACTGAGAGATAATTGCTCCTTCAGGACACTGTTAACTGACACCAGTGTCTCCTGGATGACATTCAGTCAAGCCCCTGTCAGGTTCAATATAACCAAGGGCTATATTCAAAGCCAGAGATTGAACCTAATGACTCCTGAGTCCACCAACTTCAGATCGAGCTATGATCCAAACTGCAAAGCACAGGAAACAAATTGCATATTCTGACAGTTTCTTCAAAGCCACAGGGCTTGAGACACCAGAGATTTTGTTAAGGATGCTTGTTGTCTTCTGTTTTCTTCTTCTCACATTGGTCCCACAGCTACGCAGCAAAAAAGAAGATATGCTCCATTACAAAAAGCACTTATAAAATGCAATACTAAAGCAAATTACACAATCTTGCTTGGCTTCAGCTCAGTCTCCTCCAGTCACAGCATTTTGAACTGATGCAGCAGGGACATCCTTTAGTGCCAAGGGCAAGTGTGTGTGACTTCTGAGACACAGGAAAGGTCTGTACTGCTACTGTGTGACGTGATGCAAAGGGACGGCCTGTACTCAGGGTACATGCTGTGTCCTCTTCCATGCTGCCAGTGGCTTTGACCTCAACAGATGACAATGGGCAGCCACAGTGGGCGACTAGAAAGTGCTGCACATGTCAGTTTTCCACTTGCTAAAGGACTAAAGACTGACTACATTTAAGGTGGAGCAAATAGATCACTTTATTTTAATAAGGTTTATTAAGGTGGCTGGTTAAAAATAAAATTGTTATTATGCATTGTTTTTGTCTTTTTGGTTTACTAATGAAAAGAGTGTTCACTCATTTCATAGAAACCTATAAATATGTTATATATATATATATAAAATTTTAAAGTGCTTTAATTCCACAGCTATTCACAGAGGGGGTTCGTGACTTTCACATGGTAGATGGTAGGTAGCAGTGGCCGCAGTGACTCCAGAAATGCTCGCAAAAGTGTGGGACGGGTTTGACTACCACATGGACATATATCCAGAGGGGGACATATTGAGCACTTGTAATAAAATAAATAAATAAATTTTTGTTATATAGGGTGTATTAAAAGAGAACCACACAATTTCAAAAGGGTAATTCAATTCAGTTTTTTCAATTCAATTTTATTTATATAGCGCCAATCATAACAACAGTCGCCTCAAGGTGCTTTATATTGTAATGTAGACCCTACAATAATACATACAGAGAAAAATCCAACAATCAAATGACCCTCTATGAGCAAGCACTTTGGCGACAGTGGGAAGGAAAAACTCCCTTTTAGCAGGAAGAAACCTCCGGGAGAACCAGGCTCAGGGAGGGGCGGTAAGTTAAGTGTAACCTTACAGTGGTGGACAATTAGAGGTCAGGAGGCAATTAAATTAATCAGTGTAACACTCCAGACACAAGTGATCATCCAATTAAATTCCTCTGTCTCATTCCACCTTCACACTGGAGTCTCATTTAACCTATTAAGCCCCAAGCTTAACTGATCTCCTGCCTTTGCCCCCCGTATCAGGGGGCGCTGGGGCTTAAGGGGTTAAAACCAACTCTTACCTAAATTAACTAAATATTGTCCTTAAAAGTGATTATTTATCCACAGTGACTTACCATCCACGCTCCACATGCACTTTCAGTTGGCTGTCAGCACACAAATAATTCATCACTCTCTTTCAAACTTAACCACACCTAATGTGTGTGAAAGTGCCAACCGGCTGCGATGTTACCTTATTTAAATTCCGACAGGCAGCTCTGACGCATTGCCACATGCTGCCATACAGACACTGTCCTCTCTCCACTTTGCCTACTTAAGTAGCATCTGGATATCAACAGCCGCTCTTACTGCCTGCACCGTTTCCTCCTTGCTGCGTTCACACGTTTTCCCAGCCTGATCTCTGCGGTGTTTCTGAGACACAAACTGCTTCTGTCATCAGGTGCCGAAATCCAGCTGGATTCTGCTCTGGCAGTGTCACTCTGCCTTTTCTTATCTCTCTCACTGGCAACAACAATAAGAGAAGAAAAGCACAATGCAGGGGCTTCTGCTAACAATGTGTCACAATCGATGTCTTTCAAAATGACACGCTGATGGTTTGTTTGTCATCAAAAGTCAGCGCGGTTGATGCGCAGAGTATTGTGACGTGGAAAATTATGATTTTTTTTTTTTAAATCCCTCACTGTTTGTGCACAATCAAAAGTTTTAGCCCAGCAGTTATGAGAAGCTGACAAACCCAAGCACTTATTTGAGACAAGCCGCCACTTAAAACTGTCATTTTGTGCTCGAGCTGAGAAACAAAATGCATTTAAAGCAACCAGAGACAATCATGAAAGCCCAAATCCAACAGATTTATGTTCCGGCATTCAATAATTTATGTAGAACATGTCCAACAGAGCAGAAGAAACTAAGAACATCTTGCTGGCTGTGAAATTAATCAGTCATGTTTAATGAAAGCTGGCACTAAGTAGGAATTTTGGATGAAGAATAACCAGCATGCTACCATTTATTGCAGTGGGAAGCTCACAGGCAAAGTAGCAGAGAGGAGGGAGCGTTCAAGACGGCGCTTGACACATTTGTGTTACAGCAGGGCTGCAGGCTGCAAGGCAGTCTGTCACTGATGGTGTGACAAGGTTTGCTGCTCTGACCCCTCACTCAGCACTCAAAACCTCCTGTACTTCGCACTGTAGTTGTCCTTAAGCAACATTGCATATTGAATATGGTCAAAAAAACTTTTTGAAAAACCAATAACTGAGAATTATGATGTAAATTCAGCTCAATTATTAAAGATGTGTTTGTTGCATATTCATTTATCTTCGTCGAATGATAATTGGTCGACCTCTGTGGATGAAACTCGCTGAAAAATTGGTTTCATTTTTATATTTTTGAAGTAGCTGTATAATCTTATTAGACAGCTGAAGTATGTTCAACAGAAAAACGAACCTAGACCTTTAATTAGATCTTAGTAGGATTAAATCTTAGTATAGTCCTCAGTTCTACCTGCAACAAATGAATACCATGCTACTTTTAACTAAGATAGTCATAGCCAGAGGCAATTTGATTGCTGTTGCCAGTCTGCCCTTATCCCCAACCTATTTTCACTTTTTTGAACACCTTGATTGATTTTTTTTTCCCATTAAGCACCAAAGGATGAACTTGGACCATAGGATGAGCACTGATTAGCATCTCAAGGTCACTGTGACCTCCCAAAACGCATTGTGACTGTAACTCAAGAATTAATGTGCTACTTATGACAAGATTTCATGAAAATATCTAACAGGATACAACAATGAAGTGAGGAGATTTTACAAGCAAAGGGTCAAAGGTCAACTTTCTGTGTTATTATAATGTCCCTACAAACACAGGCATTATTCAGCTCCATAACTCAGGAACAGACTGGGACTATGCTTAACTTTGATTAGGTGTTTCAGTAATCTGTATTGTAATCTCTATAAAATCCCTGCAGTTTTCACTACTGATTGATGGCCAAATGTTCATCCTGATTTTACAAAGTACAAAGTTGCAGTATTGATCTATCAGCAGATTTATTTGTTTATTATCTATAACTACATATATAAAAGTGATGAGATCATAGTTTACGAACTGTGTAGGAACCTACTTTACAAATTAACAAATAGCTTACCTTATTTTTATTTATTTTTTTGGAATATTTTCCATTAAAATAAAGATTGCATTACAATTACAATTGCATTGTAGTATGTTACTAATAATACACTGTTATGAATATGCCTGTGATAGCAGAGAACATCTGATAGATATATAGGAATCAAAATACCTCATCATTTGTTTTACCTTCTTAGTGCCAGGTTGGACTCTCTTTTGCCTTCAGAGCTACCTAAATTCTTTGTGTCACAGATCCAACAAGGTGCCGGACACATTCCTCTGAGATTTTAGTCCATGTTGACATGATAGCATCACACAGTTCCTGTAGATTTAATTCAGCTGCACATCCACAATGTGAATCTCCTGTTTCACACCCTAAAAATGCTTTACTGTTATAATAAAAGGTCATTTATGTTACCATTGCCATCCTAACAGCTCAAAGCAGTGTAGCTATTCTCCTCTGAAGCAAACTTCCCAGAGAACTGCAGCTCACTAGGTAGCTTCTCATTTTCACACCATTCTCTATAAAACCCAAGAGATATTTGCTGGAAAAAGCCCAACAGATCAGCAGTTTATAAAATACTCAGAGCAGCAGGTTTGGCACCAACCAAGTCGCTTAAATCACCCTTATTCTCCAATCAGATGCTCATTTTGAACTTCAGCAGGTTGTCTTGACTACATGCACTGAGTTGCTGCCATGTGATTGGCTGATTACAGATTTGCATTTATGCAAAGTTAAGCAGGTGTACCTAATCAAGTGGTAGGTGAGTGTAGATGGCTGTAAAACGCAGCTAGGTGGAAAACCTGTAAAGCTCTTATGCTAGCGTTCTCAATTAATCTATCAATTATTGTACATATTACTAGATTAAGCGAATCCAATGGGGAAAATGCCGAAAAGAAAGAGTCCTAAGATCCCAAAGTGAATGTTTCAGAGTTTCAAACAGTATAAAGCTTTAATATATTTAACTAAAAAACAAGAACAGCAGCTATTTAGATTTTAGTTTAACTTGTTTAAACTGGTAATGAAGAAATACTGGCTCTAAGTAGCCATTTATGTTGGTATGGGGCTTCTGGCAGCATTAGCTCCATATCACACAGTAAAAGTGACAGGACTGTGCTTGTGTTTCTTATTATGTGACAGCTCAGAGTCAACAGCATAATAAAACAGCTTGTAACTGTACAGCTATGGCGCTTAGATTTGGCAGAAGGACAAACAAAAGCGCCCGAGCAATAAAACAACAAGTCCACTAGCTTGCTGCGAGCAGCCAGAGGCACACACTGCCCTCCTTTCATACTCCCAATCTGACAGATGATGCTGCCGCTACGCCACATGAAGAAAAAAAAAGAATCTTTGCAAAACTGTAACCGTTTCCAAACATTTGTATCATCTCACTCACTTTCGTGTTTTGAAGTTCCCCATGTGTGCCGCGGAACTCCCGGGCTCTTGATAATCGCTCTGCCGGCAGATTTCAGGGCATCCATCACGAGGTGTGTCTGCTCTCCGGCAGGTGGATTCCCCAGTCACCGGACCACAGGGAGGAAAAGACGGAACAGCCTGCGCTCGATGGCGGATACGCCGGAAAGGAAAAAGGCGAGGGAGATAGGACACAGATTCAAGTTCCAGCCCCGAGCCTCTCTTCCTCGTTCTCTCTCTCTCTCTGTCTTTACCTCTCTCTCTCTTTCCCAAGTGATAATGTGAGCGGCGGAGGGCACACACGAGTCCACTGCACCGTTTCCAAAGTTGAGGGCGTGTCCTTCTAACCTTCACGAGCTTCCTTCAGTGAGAGGGAGTGACCTTAATGAAAAAAGTCATTACAGTCTAATGTGTGTACCGAGGACTTAAACACACTAATGAGTTTATGCCTAATGAGCTTACAACTGCACTTTCTGTCTCATAGGATTTCTTGTGGGTTATTGATCAGTGGTGGGCCCATTGTTACCATGGTTTCTTTTTCTTTTTCTTTTCTTTTTTTAATTAAATAATCAAATCAAATAATGTCATTTAGCCCTTTACCATGTTTAATATTTAAACCTTGACTAGAAACAACCCTACAGTTTTATTTAAGGGTGGAGATAAAATCATTAGCTACTGCTGACCATTTTCTGCCTTCTGTTTTTTTTTAATGTTTTTTCCACATGTCCGTCTATGTTTCTTGTTAATAATAAACAAAGTAACAAAAGTAGTCAAAAGTCGAAATAATAAATAATTTGTTGGTATTCTGGCGCCATCTTCCGATTGTAGCTCGAAATTGCAATTTTCTTGTAATAACTGCTGTGACATCTTCACCTACTCGACAACATTTAGTAAGATTGTAAACAGATTAAAATGTCACTAAAATTGAAATGGCACGGAGAAAGTGCTTTAGTTTTAAAAGATCTCAAGACAAAAGGATAAAAATTCTGCACTCTAAATGTAAAATGAAACCGAAATATATAAAATTAAAGGTTTTTTTATTTAATAAAACTAAACGTATACCAACCACGTATATTTTATTTAACCAGATTCCATTAAATTTAACATTTTACTTACTCTTACACCTGTAATTTAATTAGTTAAAGTCAGCATATTGTGCATTTTTTTAATGCAAGGGGCTAAAATCCACTGGTGTACCTTTAACATAAGCAAATATCTTTCTTTGATGTGCTCTGCCCAGGTTTCATATATTTCCCAATACCAACTAACAATCATAACATTTACAAACATTTGTTTCATATGTGATTATGCAATATTAAGACACAATGGTCTACAGTTGTGGTCAGAAGTTTATATGTGCAGATCATCGGCATGAAGGTCATGCTTGTCATGCTAATTTGGAGAATTTAATGATTTCTTTAAACAGCATATATCTTAAATGGCTATAAAAACAAGAACAGGGTACACAAGTTTGAATTGCTTTCTCTTTTCTCTAAGAGAAAGAAGATTTTCTGTAATTCACACAGGGTCAAAAGTATACATACAGCTTTGTATACTTTGACCACATATTTTTGGTGGTCATCAGCAAAAGTCTAGCTGGATATTTGATGACTCTTCTTGGCACAATTTCATTTAAATTGTCTGGTTTCCTAGCATGGACCAACCTTTTAAGTGTGGTGGACAAATTTTCAACAGGGCTGAAAGTCGAGGTTTTCAAAAGGCCATTCCAGAAGCCTTCCAGTTAGCCTGCTTTGTCCATTCAAAAAAACAATTCTGATGTGTGTATGGATCATTGTTCTATTGAAGCACTCAACTGTATCCGAGTTTTAACTGCTTAGCTGTTAATGTGAGGTGATGTTGAAGACTTTGAAAGTAGTCCCCCTTCCTAATTATTCCATCCACTCTACAATGGATCAGTACCACTAATAGCAAAACAACCCCAGCACATGATGCTACCAGCACCATGCTTGACAGTTGGTGCATAGTTCTTAGGTTTGAAAGCCTCACCTTTACGCCTCAAACATACTTCTGGTCATTGTGGCCAAATAGTTCAGTCTTTGTCTTGTCTGATCACAGAAGCTCTTTCCAGAAGGCTTGTTCATTTCATTTGAGCTTTAAAGTATTGGTTTTGGAGCAGGGGCTTCTTTCTTGGTGAGCACTTTCTCAGCTCATAACGATGTAAAACGCGCTTTACAATGGACAGTGAAGCCAATGTTCCAGCAGTTTCCAGTTCATGGCACATTTAAGCCTTTGTGGTTCCTGGATTGTTTCTCACTAACCTAACCAATTTCCTCTCATCTGAGGGTGGCAGTTTGGGTCTTCTTCGATACTTTGGCAAAGTGTTGATGGGTCCAAATAATTTGTACTTACAAACAATAGTTTGAACTGATGATCTTGCAATTTGCAGTTGTTTTGAAATGGCTCCAAGAGACCTTCATGACTTGTGTAAATATTCATTTTTCTGAGTTTTATTCAAACAAACTCTTTTTGTGCTGGCAAAGAGAAACAAAGACTAATGGGGCCGAATTAGGCCTTGTCAAGTTAAAAGACACAGAAGAACCTTTACCACCACAAAAAGTAAGTGAGTGTATGTACATGTACATATTTGAGCCAGTATGCATACTTTTAACCCCGTGTGAATTACACCCAATTCTTTTTTCTTTTTCTTTTTTTTTTTTTAAGTCATTAAAGATGTATGCTGTACAATCATTCCACTCTGGACAAAGAACAATTCAAAGAAATAATTTAAAGCCACCACATTACCCTAACATCCATGCCCATGGATGAGTTAATGTAATCTTCTGACCACAACTACAAGTACTTGTACCAAAGAAAAATAATTTTTGAGACATAGAGAACATGAAATTTGTTTGTTTTTTTCCTTCATGGTGAAATATTTATTTAAATTCTCTCCACAACCCAGCACAGATTACAACTTCTCATTTTAAGTCTAAGCTCATCTCACAAGTATTTCACACTCAGGAAGCTAAGCAGTGCGTGTACTGTATAGTCACGGATTTCTCACAAATCATCTAGAACAAGTTATTACGGTTTAGCCTGCGGTGGCATGCTTGCTGTTGTAGTAATTTCGGTGCTCTGTGGTCATTTGAGAGAGTCTTTAGTTTATATTTAATGCCCTGAGCAGCACACACTACTGCAACTACACTGACTGCTTTGCATGTGATCATGTGAGTATGTGCCAATCTGCACGTGTTAATGTGTTGCTATTCTGGATACAGCAAGTTGGAGAACCATGCAGCGTTTTAAAATTCAAGAAGGTTGTGTCGCTCCCGCGTCGTCCTGCATCAGAGTGAGCATTTTTACAAACTAAAGAATCATCTCCCTCTTCAGTTTAAAAAAAGAAACAGCTTCTTGAAAGCTGAAAGCTGCACTGAAACAATGCAAAAGAAAAACCTCCGACCCCGCCTCCACCTGTTTTCATGGAAGACTGGATCTGTGATAAATCGTAATTCTTGGTATTTAGAAGCCCTCTAGTCACTGGCACATTGTCACAGAGCACCCCTGAATCCAATAAAAAATAGCAGTTCGAGGCTTTAGTTTCAAATTTAATCTTCCACTAGACTTCTTTGACAGAAGCGTAATCGAACAGTGCAGCATGCATCATCTGTTTAAGGTTGCCCAATTCATGTGTGAACACTGCATCATAAGATGCTTGAAATACCCATTTAGATTAAAACAAAAGAAAAAATCCTCCTGTTTTGCAGCATGTTTTGGGAAAATGTTTACATCAAGTCACTGACAGGACATTTGTTAGAGTCTTAGTCCCCCATAAAACAATTCATGCTTCTGGTGGTCTCTGAATTTGTAAAGGGTGAGGAAGGCAAGATCGCTGAAAGAGCAGAGCCAGATGAAGGGGAGGACTGCATGAAATAGACTTAAATGAGAGGGAGAGAAAGGTAGTTTCTTTTAGAAAGGACAACATAGAAAAAAAAACAGACTGGACTAGTCGGCTAACATGCTCTCCTGTCTGCTTTACAGTATATAGCCCTCCTGGGTTTTTTAAAATATCATAGCCTCATGCTTTTTGTCTCATACACACACTCAAACACACACTCTCATCTTTATTTCTAAACCCGCATCTTCCTCAGAGGGTGCAGCTACAAGGCATCTGGTTGGAGGGCCCATCTTGGAAGCAGACGGTGACCTTTGCCAACTATTCTCAGGTCAATCCAATGTCAGGTGATGGATTAGTGTACATCCATAAAACCTGACGAAATCTTCAACCAAGCACAACACCTGCATTGAAGAACCTCATACACCGTCCGTTTCAAAGACTGGGAAAACCGTCCCTTCGTCTTCTCCCGTTTCCCCTCCTGGTTTCTCTCGTCCTTCCTGCTCCTCTCCTCCTCCTCTTCCTTCTCCCCCCTCTCGTCTCTCTTCTCGTTCTGAGGCACACGGGTAGTCTTGGGACTGGGGCTGCGGCTGTCCCAGTGACTCCGTTGACAAGCTGCGGCTAGACAGGATGCTACTTAGGCTGGACTGGCGGGCGCCCCTGGGGTGGGTCTCAATTTCAACGCGAACCTCAATATTCGTTCTTTCCCTGCGGTCACAATGAAGAAACACAGTGGAGTCATTATACAGTACCGTCCAAAAATATTGCCATTCCATAGTGCACTCCAGTCGATCCAAAAATCATTATTCAGCAGAAGACATCAAGCTCACAGAGCAAGTCATAAAGAGCTGTCATTGGTGATGAGACATAGTGGCACACAGAGTCCTGACCAAACATTATCGAATCAGTCTAGAAATGCATTTACAAGAAATACAAGCAAGTACTTGCACAAGTACTGTTTTAAAAGCAAAGACTGATATACAGAATACTGTGGTGGTTTGCTTCAGTTGTGTGTGCATTTGTCTATTTGGTTACTGCTCCATTAACTTTAAGGTGTATCTCCTGAACTCTAATAGCAATATGTAACAGCTGCTTTATCCCACTGACTAACAAGTGGTGGTAATGCACCAACAAATGCAGCAATGGCCCAGCCTCCGCTGCAGAAGAGGACTGCTTGCAAATAAACAGAGATGGGTGCTTTTCATTTTTCTGTTTTGTGCCTCCTCACCTCCTCTCTACTCCATCCACCTGCCGCTGACGTGAAAATGAATCTAAGCATGTTAAAGGAAGTCTGAATACCTAAAAGGGTCTCTCAAAGAGGGAGGAGTGAGGAGACAGGGTGTATCCTCTAAGGAAGTCAGACTATAAGGACCACGGGGAAAGTCAGACTTAGCAAATATATGTTTGTAAGACTAACAAAAAATGTATATACACAGCTATTCTGGTGTCAAGATCCATGGAGTGTTGACCCAGAGTTTAGAG